TTTTTTTATTTTAGTTTTTATCTGTTCTATTACCCAGTAGTTTTTGAGCAGTGAGTTGTTCAGCCTCCATATGTTTAATGCTTTTTCCTTGCTCTTCCTATTATTAATTTCTAATTTTATAGCATTGTGGTCCAAGAAGATGCTTTGTAGTATTTCAATGCTTTTGAATTTATTGAGGCTTGATTTATGTCCTAACATATGGTCTATTCTGGAGACAAATGTGAATTGTGAGTTTGTTGGGTGAAATGCTCTGTATATGTCTATGAGGTTGAGTGGTTGATTGTATTGTTGAGTTTTTCTGTAGCTTTGCTGAATTTTTTTCTTGTTGACCTGTCCCTCTTTGAAAGTGGTGTGTTAAAGTCTCCTACCACTATTGTAGAGTTGTCTACTATCCCTTTTAATTCAATTAATATTTGCTTCACGTATTTTGGAGCACTTTCATTGGGTGCATAAATATTTATTATTGTAATGTCTTGTCAATTGACCCTTTCAGCATCATATAATGTTTTCTTTATTATCTTTTATGATGTTTTTCACCTTAATGTCTATTTTATTAGAAATTAATATTGCCACTCCTGCTCTTTTTTGGTTTCTTTTGGCTTGGTATATTTTTTTCCATCCCTTAACTCTTAATTTGTTTTTATCTTTGTGTTTAAGGTGGGTCTCTTGTAGGCAGCATATCGATGGGTTTTCTTTTCTTATCCAGTCTGCCACTCTTTTCCTCTTGATAAGTGCATTTAGTCCATTCACATTGAGTGTAATTAGTGATAGGTATGAATTGATTGCTGTCATTCTATTGTATTTTTTTTGTCATGTTGTTGGTGTTTCCTTGGGCCATATACTTTTCTGTGCTGAGTTCAGTTTGTTGCCTAATGCTTTCTCCCTTTTCTTCTTTATTGTTGGTTTTGTGCTTATTAAAGCCATATGTTTTCCTTCCTTCCAGATTTGCTTAGGGGGATTGTTACTTTTCTCTGTGGTTACATTGGAGTGTATTCTTGTCTCTACATTTTTAGAACAGTGCATATTGTGAAGACATTGCCCAGTTTTCTTCTCCATTTGAAAGTTTGTACCTAGAAGTTTTATTCCCTCTGATAGGTTAGTTGCTGTTATTGTGTGCTGATTGACTTTCTTGGTTTTGAGTGTACAATGTTTTATGGTCTTATTTTGAGTTTCTATTTCTGATTTGGTTTTAGTGTTGAAGCCACATATCCTGGTTTTGTTGATCTCTGTTGCGGGCTCTCTATTAGAAGAACTTCCTTAAGCATTTCTTAAGGTTGGTACATTTTTTACAAAATCCCTTAATTTGTGTTTGTCTGAGAATGTATTGATTTTGCCTTCATATTTGATGGATAATTTGGCTGGATATAGGATTCTTGGTTGGAAGTTCTTTTCCTTCATGTTTTATATATGCCATTCCATTACCTTCTTGCCTACAAGGTTTCTGCTGAGTAATTGGAGTGCAGCCTGTTTGATTATTATAAGTAATATTTCTTTTGTCCTGGGAAGCTCTCAAAATTTTTTCTTTGTCTTTGGTTTTGGAGAGTTTGATTATAATATGCCTTGGTGTTTTTCTCTTGGGATCTATTTTATGTGGGGTTCTATGAGCTTCTTGGACAAATATTTTTTCTTCTTTCATGATATGGGGGAAGTTTTCTGTTAGCAGGTCTCCCACAGTTTTCCTGGTATTTTTATTCACCTCTTCTTGTTCTGGAATGCCAATGAGTCTTATGTGGTTTCTTTTCATGTCATCCTATGTAATTCTTAGGTTCTCTTCATTTCTCTTAAATTTTTGTTCTGATTTTTCTTCATACAGGCTGGTTTCCAGGGATTTGTCTTTTAGTTGGGGTATGCGTTCTTCAGCCAGTTCTAACCTACTCTTTTGTGCTTCTACTGTGTTGTATAATTCTGTAATTTTGATATTCATCTTCTGGATTTCTAACTGCTGTTTTTGTATGAGTTCTGATTGTGCATTAATCTTATTATTTTGTTCTTAAATTATTTTTCTGAGTTCTTCCAGAGAACTGTTTGTTCTCTTTGGTTATGTTTGGGGTTTCCTTAGGCTCTTGTAAAGCTCTATAAACATATCTTTCTCAGATAATTCTATTGCTTCCTCTTCCTCCATGTTTAATGAGACCTTTGTTTGTGGTTTTTCTTCTAATGCCTTGTCCTGTTTTTTTTTTTGTTTGATTTGAGGTTGCCTGTTGTTTCCTAGACATTTTGAGGTTGTCTTTAACTGTTGGTTATATATTGATTTGATTTGTCTTGGTTTTATGGTTTATTATTTTGAAAAGGTGAAGCTTGTGTATTTTATTTTTTTTTAAATTATTAATTCAGGTATGCTGGGTTGCTCTGCAATTTTCTTTGTGATGGTGGAATCACTGTGCAAAATGTGGATATGGACTTCTGTTTGTCTTGAAGAGGGTTTAGAGTTTGAACTGGGAGGTTTTATGTTGGCTGATTGTGGTTTCTTCTATTGGATGAGTGAAGTTATTGGTGGAGAAGGTGGGTGAGGAAGAAGGAAAGATCGTTGTTGCTAGGGGCGGTTTCTAGGTCTTTGAGTGAGCTGCTATTGATGATGTCATACTGTTATTTACAGGCCTGTAGTTCAATTTCAGCAAAGACTCCAGTTGTTAGGGGGTCACCACTTTCTGCCAGGCTCAGCCACATGCAAAAACCCCACTCCTAAGGCCCCTAGGCACCAACAAGCCAACCCAAGACAACTGCCCAGCTCCACGATCCACCCAGAGGTTTCTTTTCAGGCCCCACCCACCCATGGCACCAAAGATCCACTCAGTTTCAGTGGCACTGGATTAGGGAGAGTGCCTGCTAGCAATCTGTGGTCCCAATATTACTGATAAAGTCAAGCACAGGCTTCTCAGTGCCACTAAGCTGACCCAAGCCTACTTGGTGACTCACTGTGAGGGCACTTCCCTGGGCCCACCCTCCTGCAACACCAATGAACTCTCTGCTTGGGTTTCAGCAGTGCTGGACTTGCCTGTTTGCACCCAAGTGACAAGTTACTGATAAAATCAGGTGCTGAAGGTAGATCTTTGGGGTGATCACTGGTATGCTGGTGTGTTTGCTGGTATGCTGGTGTGATGTGTATTCTTCCTTAACCCAGGGAGGTCTCAGATGGCTGTTCTTGACTGTTGGTCGCTCCCCCAGGGAAGTGTCTGATGGCCTTTCTTGGCTGGCTGTCAGTGCTCTGCAGGATAGATCTTCTGATCTTGTTATTTTTTCCCCATACCTTTCTCCTTTCTAATTCTACTCCTCTGAATTTGGTGCACTCTGACTCAGTGAGTTGTTCAGAGCACCAGAATCCCTAATTCAAATTGCAGTACATAGTTTTTCAAGCACTAAGATGCTAGAGGGAAATAGCATGGTGATTACTGATGAGACTCCATTTTGAATCACTCAAAGATAATTTTTCATTAAATGCACTAGAATTCCACAAATATATCAAGTATTTTGTTTTTAGTAAAATATTAAATGAGCAAATAAAGAATATTCTTGGTTTATGTTTTTTAGTTCATATATTGTTGTTGTTGTTGTTGTTATGTGCCGTCGAGTCAAACCCGACTCATAGCGACCCCTCCTTGGGTTTCCGAGGCAGTATCACTACGGAAGTAGGATTGCCCAACCTTCCTTCCGAGTAGTTCATATATATAAAAGATAAAATCAATTATCAATGATTTCAATTTTGGGAAACACATAAATATCAAATCCAGAGGCAATACTAACCACATGTCACGTACCCTAAATATGTTATTAAATAAAGCTTTACCAAGTAGCACAAATGGTATAATATTTTCCTTTCTGTCTTTTCTTACCCATGGCCTACTGGAAATATTTTTGACAAACCGAAGGAGAAAAAGTAAGAACCTTGGCTAATCTATAACTAGGAAATTTGCCTTCAAGTAATTAAGGTGATTACTATTTCTAAATGGGATGAAATATTAATTTTCTACAAATATGTTCTTTTCAGCCAAATTTGCCACTCTTTATTACTTTATATATAGTGCAAATAAAAACATCACAGCAATGGAGCTCAGTATGAGAAGAAAGAAAACCAGCACAAAAAGATGTAAAACAAAATTACCTTTTTCCCTGGACGGCCTGTTTGTCCTAGAATTCCCACAATTCCTTCAGGTCCCTTGAATAGTCAATATAAAAAAGGAAATAAGTGAAATACAAAATAAGAAGGAAATAAAAAACATAAAAAGGAAATATAAGGAAAGACTGGATGGAGTGTTTGAATATTTATCATACCAGATTATGCAGAAATCATACACTTTGTAAAAAGAGTTATTTTTCAAAAATATAATCTTTGTATAATTACTTAAAGAAGTGATATGATTAAGAGCATACCTTTTACTAGCTAAAATGTCACACACACATGCTGGCCTTGACAAACACAATTATCTTTAGGAAGAAAATCACTTAGTTTCAGCATGCTCATTTTAATTAGCAAGAACATAATTAAAGTAAACTCAAATGCATCCATTTCAGCAATTCCATGAGCTACTGTGAGCTTATCATTTTGTTGAATGAACAGGATTACAAAATACATCTAATAAATTATCAAGAAAATCTCCAAATCTCATTGGAGCAGAAAGGATTAGAGAGATACTCTTTGATCTGTGGAAAAAGGAGAGAGGGGAATACAGAAAGAAAAAGGAGGCAGTCATATTAAACTATATTATATTGCTTAAAATAACATTTTTGTTCCAATATGTACTTTGTTTAGTCAAAAGTAGGCTAAAAGTTTTCAATATACACTTTGCTTAGTAGAAAGTAGCAAAAATATTTTAGAGGTCAGGCGAATTTGCAGTTCAACAATGCTTAGGCTTAAAGGAAAGCCACAGTATGCCAGGCTGTAAATTCTAAAATGGGTAATAATCAAGCATTCTTTGCATTAGTTGGCAATGAAAGTGGAAACCTCAAATTTGTGTTCTAAAGTTTGGCAAGCTGCAAAAATGATGTAGAAAAGAAATATATTGTGGTTTACCACTGTGCCATGTAGGCTCTTGATAAATATTTGCTGAATGAATAAACAGATACCTAAGGAAATGACTCATGCCCTATGCTGCTAAGTAAATGCTCTCCTAGCCTCTGAAAGCTGATGAAATTAGAGGCCAAAGCAGCTATGTTCTATTGCTGTAGTTCTAGCTGCATCCAGAGGTTGAAATGATAGTTGCACTATTCTGAGGAGTTCTTTGTGGTTCATAAGATCTTTTAAAAAGATGTCAATTCACCTTCATAGAGGTTATGTATGGGTGCAAGCTTTTCAAAGTCATACTGCTCCAGTTTCATATTCTGGCTCTGACACCTATTACCTATATGATCACAGGCAAGTTATTTAACTTATAAAAGCCTATTTTCTTTTATGTGAAATTAGTAGAGCAATATCTTATCAATGATAAGATATTATATCTAAGAATAAATGAGATAATGTATATAAAGCTTAGAAAGGACTAGGTTTTTAATGAAGAGCTAACAGTTATCATTATATAATGAGTATAACAGTACTCATTTCCACTTTAAGAAACAATTATTTATATTTGTAAATATATTTATATTTGTTATTATTTAAGAATTATTTATTTGTATTTTTATTCATTTGCATGTATTGCAAGCAACATATGGTTGTTTTTCCATTTTTTAAACTTCAAATAAATAGCATTATACTTTATGTATTCTTCTGAAATGCTTTGTCTTTCATAATATAAATTTTTTAAATTATTCAATTTTATACATACTCGTGATATTTGTATTCTTTTCATTTTATACATCACAAATCTCTTTTCTGAGCCTGTGGCTTGTTGTCTCATCTTGTTTATTATAAGTTTTGATTAACACAAGTTTACAATTTTGATGTAGTCAAATGAATACTTTGTTTTTCTTTTGTTTGTCTAATTTCTTTAAGTGTCTTTTTTAAAAGATCCTTAGTGCCTTTCCTTCATTGATAAGGACATAAAAAATTATTTTAATTCTCCTATAATATATCACCATTCATTGCAGCAATATTAAAATTACCCAAAAGGTGAAACAGCCATTAACAGATGATGTTGATGACCATCAACAGATGAATAAATAAACAAAATGTGATATACAAACTCAAATATTACTTAGCAACAAAAATAAATAAAGTTCTGATACATACTACAAATGGGCAAACCTTGAAAACATTGTGCTGAGTGAAATAACTCAGTCAAAAACAAATATTAGATGATCCCACTTGTATGTAATAGGAAAGTTTTTACCAGGGGTAGGAAGATAGGAGATACTGCTTAGGGGCAGTGAGTTTCTGTTAATGATGGTGTAATAATTTGGAAAAAGATAGTGGTTATGGTTACAGAACACAATGAGTGTAATCAATGTCACTGTATTGTACATGTAAAAATTGTTGACTTAAGAAATACATCTTTATCACAATTTTAAAAAAGGAAAACAGAAAGACCAGATTCTGTAGCCAACAACAAAAAAAAGTTTTCAAAGTTTTGATTTTCAAAATTAGGCCTTTAATCTAATTAGAATGTGTGTGTGTGTGTGTGTGTGGGGGGGGGATATGGTGTGAAAGAGAGATTTTTTTTCCTCCCATGGATAACTAATTGCTACCAGTACCATTTATTGAATAAATGTACTTTTTCCCCATAGATCTGCAATGTATAATCGGTTATCAAAAATCAAGATTCAAACTATACCTAGAAATGGTTCTCATTCTCAGTTCTGTGCTGTTTCTACTGGCCTGTTTGTCTATCTTTAAATGTTTATGACATTGCCAGTTCTTCCCCCTACGCTCCACAACTTGTTCTTGATAACTGTATTGACATTGGCCCTTTGATCATCCACATAAATTTTTAAATCACTTTTCATCAATAAAGATCGATAAAAATACTCTGTGGGACTTTGACTGAAATCATACTGAATTTATAGATTAATTTAGTGAATTGAAAATTTTGGATCTTCCCATGAATGGAACCCATTCATTTAGGTCTTCTTTAATAAACTTATAATTTTCTCAATAAAATTTTGCAAATGTTTTGTTACATCTATTTTAGATACCGAATTTTGTTGCTAATTGTATCAACTGAATTTTTTTTCCTCAAAGTGTCTAGCTGCTTGTGGATGATGGAGAAGAAGAAATCCATTTTTTTGTGTATTGATGTTATGCTCAGCATTTTGCTGAACTGTCAATAATTGTGATAATCTGTAGATTATTTCTTTTGCTTTACTGTCTGGCTGGGATGCTGAGTAAATATTGAATAGAAATGGTGAATAATGGCAATTTTTGCTCCTTTCTTGGAAGTTTCACCATTAATTAGGATAGTCACTGTAGGTTTTGGTAAATATCCTTAATGAATGGAGATTAAATATTACTACATTCTTTTTGTTTCATCTATGGAGATGATTATTATTTTAGTCTTTTAATTTGCAAATGTGTGACTTATGTTTATAATTTTTTTAGATGTTAAAATTTTATTATAATACTGGCATAAGTTAAAATTCATAAACTCTTTTATTATATCATGACTACACAACTGCACTTTACCAAGCATGGTATCCTTCTCCAGGGAATAGTCTCTACTGACAACATGACTAAAAGAGGTGAGAAAAGGTCTGGCCCCTCTCACTTCTAAGGAGCATTCGGCTGCACTTCTTCCAGGATAGAGTTGTTTGTTCTTCTGGCAGTCCATGATATTTTCATTATTTTTCACCAACACCAAAATTCAAAGGCATCAGTTCTTCAATCTTCTTATTCACCATCTAGCTTTCACATTCGTAGGAGGTGACTGAAAATACCAGGGCTTGGGTTAGGGTATCTTAGTCTTCAAAATGACATCTTTACTTTTCAACAACACTCTAATGAGGTTTTGTGCAGCACATTTGCCCAGTGCAATACAACATCTGATTTCTTGACTGCTGCTTCCATGAGTGTAGATTGTGGATCCAATATAATGAAATCTTTGACAACTTCAATTTTTTCTCCAATTATCATGATGTTGCTTTTTGGTCCAGTTGTGAGGATTTTCATGTTCTATGTTGAGGTATAATCCATACAAAGACTGCAGTCTTTTATCTTCATCAGTAAGTGCTTCAAGTAATTTTTACTTTCAGCAAGCAAGATTATGTCGGTTGCATATTGTTGCTGTTGTTATGTGCCATGGAGTCGGATCAGACTCATAGCGACCCCTCCTTCAGTTTCCAAGGTGGTATCACTACAGAAGTAGATTGCCCAACCTTCCTTCCAAGGTCTGGCTGGTGGGTTTGAACCGCCAGCCTTCTGGTTGTTAATGAAGTCTTCCTCTAGTGATGATGCTGTGTTCTTCTTCATATAGTCCAGCTTCCTGGCTTACTTGCTCAGCATACGGATTGAATACATATGGTGAAAGGATACGACCCTGACACACACCTTTTCTAATTTTAAAGCATGCAGTATTCCCTTGTTCTGTTAGAATGACAAGCTCTCTCTCTATGTACTGGTTCCTCATTAGCACAATTAAGTGCTCTAGAATGCCTTCTTTCAAATGTTATTCATAATTTACCATGATCCACACCAGTTGAATGCCATAACATAGACAATAAAACACTGGTTTCTGGTATTCTCTGCTTTTAGCCAAGAGCCATCTGACATCAGCAATGATATCCTTCATTTCATGTCCTCTTTTGAGTCCAGCTTGCATTTCTGGAAGTTCCCTGTCAACATACTGCTGCAACAATTTCTGAATTATCTTCAGCAAAATTTTACTTGTGTGGTACTAATGGTGTTGTTCAATCATTTCCACAGTCTGTTAGATCACCTTTCTTTGGATTGGGCACAGATATGGTCCTCTTCCAGTCAGTTGGCCATATGCTAAATTTGCTGGCATAAATGAGTAAGTGCCTCCAGTGCTTCATCCATTTGTTGAAACATCTTGAGGGGTATTCTATCAATTCCTGGAGCTTTGTTTTTCACCAGTTCCTTCAGTGCAGCTTGTACTTCTTCCTTCAATATCATTGATTCTTGACCATATGCTACCCCTGAAATGGCTGAATGTTGGCCAATTCTTTTTGGTACAGTGACTCTGTGTATTCTTTCCACCTTCTTTTGATGCTTTCCACATTGCTCAATATTTTGCCCAGAGAATCCTTACATTTTGGAATTTGAGGCTT